TTGTTATAAGTTTGATTGAAATAGCTTTTGATTTCAGTAAATAGAAACATAGAAACATAGAATGTGACGGCAGATAAGAACCATTCGGCCCATCTAGTCTGCCCAATTTTCTAAATACTTTCATTAGTCCCTAGCTTTATCTTATAGATAGGATAGCCTTATGCCTATCCAACGCATGCTTAAACTCCTTTACTGTGTTAACCTCTACCACTTCAGCTGGAAGGCTATTCCATGCATCCACTACCCTCTCAGTAAAGTAATACTTCCTGATATTATTTTTAAACCTTTGTCCCTCTAATTTAAGACTATGTCCTCTTGTTGTGGTAGTTTTCTTCTTTTAAATATAGTCTCCTCCTTTACTGTGTTGATTCCCTTTATGTATTTAAATGTTTCTATCATATCCCCCCTGTCTCGTCTTTCCTCCAAGCTATACATGTTAAGATCCTTTAACCTTTCCTGGTAAGTTTTATCTTGCAATCCATGAACCAGTTTAGTAGCCCTTCTCTGAACCCTCTCTAAGGTATCAATATCCTTCTGAAGATACGGTCTCCAGTACTTTGTACAATACTCCAAGTGAGGTCTCACCAGTGTTCTGTATAATGGCATGAGCACTTCCCTCTTTCTACTGCTAATACCTCTCCCTATACAACCAAGCATTCTGCTAGCATTTCCTGCCTACCTTTAAGTCATCAGAAATAATCACCCCTAAATCCCTTTCCTCATATGTTGAGGTTAGGACTCGATCAAATATTCTGTACTCTGCCCTTGGGTTTTTACGTCCAAGATGCATTATCTTGCACTTATCCACATTAAATGTCAGTTGCCACAATTCTGACCATTTTTCTAGTTTACCTAAATCATTTGTCATTTGGCTTATCCCTCCTGGAACATCAACCCTGTTACATATCTTAGTATCATCGGCAAAAAGACATACCTTACCATCAAGACCTTCTGCAATATCACTAATAAAAATACAGATCCCTGAGGTACCCCACTGGTGAAAAGTCCAAGCTTTGAATATATTCCATTAACTACAACCATCTGTTGCCTGTTACTCAGCCACTGCCATTCAACAATATTTGAATCCAAACTTAAAGATTGCAGTTTATTGATAAGCCTTCTATGTGCAACAGTGTCAAAAGCCTTACTGAAATCTAGGTAAGCAATGTCTACTGCACCACCCTGATCTATAATTTTAGTTACCCAATCAAAAAAATCAATAAGATTAGTTTGGCATGATCTCCCTGAAGTAAACCCATGTTGTCTCTGATCTTGAAATCCATGTGTTTTTATTATTTCTTATATATATAATATAATTGAGTAAAGAAATGGGGAACAAGCAATAATATTGTAAATACATGATAATGAGCAATATTTAATCTATATGTATATATGTAATACCACATGTCCTATCTAATCAGCGCTAAATGTTTACATTTTCTTATGTTTTTTATATTAGTATGGATGATGTTAATGTCTTGTACGTCTTGTAAAAGAAAAATTGAAATAAATAAATTATAAAAAAAAAAAGAAATCCATGTGTTTTTAGATGTTCATCAATCCTATCCTTTAACATGGTTTCCATCACTTTCCCCACTACTGAAGTAAGGCTTACTGGCCTATAGTTGCCTGACTCCTCCCTATTACCTTTCTTGTAAATGGGCACAACATTCGCTAACTTCCAATCTTCTGGGACTACTCCTGTTAACAATGATTGGTTAAATAAATCTGTTAATGGTTTTGCTAGTACACCACTAAGCTATTTTAATAGCTTTGGGTGTATTCCATCAGGGCCCATTGACTTATTTGTCTTTACTTTTGACAGTTGAAATAGAACCTCTTCCTCTGTAAACTCACGTGTAATAAATGACTAATTTATCCTTTTTCTCAACTGAGGTCCCTTTCCTTCATTTTCATCTGTAAATACAGAACAAAAATATTCATTGAGGCAGTCAGCTAGACCTTTATCCTCTTCTACATACCTTCCTTCTTTTGTTTTTAATCTAACTAATCCTCGTTTTACTTTTCTTTTCTCATTTATGTATCTAAAAATGTTTTATCCCCCTTTTTTACTGACTGTGCTATTTTTTCTTCTGTGTGTGATTTGGAAGCTCTTATAACTTGCTTAGCCTCTTTCTGCCTAATCTTATAGATCATTTTGTCTTCCTCACTCTGTTTTTTTTTATAATTACTAAATGCTAACTTTTTGTTTTTAACTATTTTGGCCACATCTGCGGAGTACCACAGTGGTTTCTTGAATTTTTTGCTTTTACTGACAAGCCTAATGCAATTTTCTGTTGCCTTCAATAGTGCAACTTTTAAATAATCCCATTTTTCTTGGACTCCATTTAAATTGCTCCAGTCTGATAATGACTCCTCTACCCATATTCTAATTTTAGAAAAGTCTGTTTTCTAAAGTCTAAAACTTTTGTTTTTGTGTGGTGTGACTCAGTCACTGTTCTTATATTAAACCACACTGACTGATGATCACTGGATCCTAAACTTTCACCTACAGTAACATCTGATACCAAATCTCCATTTGTTAACACTAAATCTAGTATGGCTTCTTTACGAGTTGGTTCCTCAATGACTTGTTTTAGAGACAATCCCAGTAGGGAGTTTAGAATATGTGTGCTCCTGGCACAAGCAGCTATTTTTGTTTTCCAATTCACATCAGGAAGATTAAAGTCACCCATGATGATAACTTCCCCCTTCATTGTCATTTTAGCTATTTCCTCAACTAGTAGATTATCAAACTCTTCAATTTGTCCTGGGGGCCTATAAATCACACCTACACGAGTTACTGTGTGATTACCAAATTCTAACATAACCCAAATGGACTCTGTTCGCCTCACTAACTTTTATTATGCTAGATTTAATGCTATCCTTCACATACAGGGCCACCCTTCCCCTTTCTTGCCTTCCCTGTCTTTTCTATATAAAGAGTACCCTGATATTGCTATGTCCCAGTCATTTTTCTCATTATACCATGTCTCGATAACAGCGACTAAATCTACATTATCAGTTGCCATTATTGCCACAAGTTCATGGATCTTATTATCTAAACTGCGAGCATTTGTAGACGTGAATCTAAGCTTATCATTTTTTAACACACTTGCTACAGGCACCTTCTGTCCTGGTTTTGGGGGACAATCGGATTGATGTTTTATCACCCTTTTGCCCCCCCTCCTAGTACATAAATATGCTGCAAACACAATAAATGACAATTTTCAGTTCTTTACAACCTATAAAGTGTTTTGAAACTTACTGTGCGTAATAATTTGGAGCAGTGCATTGTAAGTTTTTTATGTTTAAAAAAATACTGTTATCATTAGGAGGTTTGTTCAATAAAATTTGAATTGTGCTCTTAATAGTTGATAACATGAGAATGATGCTGTTATTTACATCAATTATTTAGGTAAATGAGTTAAAAATATCATTTACATAATAATTTGGGATAGGGTGTAGTAGCTGCATGGACTCTGATAAAACCTCTTCTTCAGGCAGGTAATTCACATCCTTATTGTTCTTACAGTAAAAAAAACCTTTCCTTTGCCTTAGACAAAATTTTCTTTCTTCCAGTCTAAGCACATGGCCTTGTGTCCTATGTAAAGTCCGGTTTGTGAATAGATTTCCACACAATGGTTTGTATTGGCCCCGAATATATTTGTATAATGTTATCATATCCCTTCTCAGGCGATGTTTTTATAAACTAAAGAGGTTTACATTTGTTAACCTTTCTTTTCAAATAATTTTTATTAAAGTTTTCAAATTTTGTATAACAAGTGATAATAATACAAACATTGTATTATCGGTAGGAAAGGAATGGTAACTTGGAAATTGGAAGGGGTATCCATCCATCATTGAAATAAGCATAACAATGTATATGGCAAAAATTTTGTACATCAATGCACTTCAACAATAAATATATCAAAGACCATAAACTGTTTTGATTTTTTCTTCCCATTTATCCCAATTATATTTTAATATTGGGAAACCATGCATATTGGCTCTATGTGATAGTTCGTGTGCCTTGTTTTCTAGAATCAAATTAAAAACTTCTCTGAGAGATGGCACATTTTGAGACTTCCAATGTCTAGGTAAACAGGATGTAGCAGCGATCAGAATGTGGCCTATGATTATTTTATCTGAACTATTAACGGACTCCGGGAGTTTTTTAAATAAGGCTAGTTCCGAAGTTAAGATGCTAATGGTTCTGTTCACTTTAATAATTAGATCATGAATCATTTTCCAATAATTAGTTAACTTGGGGCAGAACCACCAGATATGGGCCATATTGCCCACTCCCCCACAGTCTCTCCAACACCGGTCAGAATACATATTGTTCATGTTGTGCAATCTAAACGGAGCCAGGTACCAGCGATATAAGATTTTATAATGATTTTGAAAATG